TTGAGAAAAGGAAAGATATGCTACTATTTGAAGTTACAAACAGTTATGAAAGGAATTATTTAGTGTAAGACCTGACAATAGAGGTAGAAAGATGAGATTCATAAATAGCCTCAGTACCAGGAAAACAACGTAATAATGAAATATATTTATTTGTTATATAGTTTTGGGCAGGAAAAGTAAGCGATGGACACTCCTTCATTTGAGTTTTTTAAGCCTAGATTGGACAAAATACAGAAAATACACTCTGCGGATCAGCGCGTATTTTCTATCTTAGTTTCTCCTGTTGTGTATTATCCCTTTCTTAAAGAAACAAACAAGAAACAATCCTAACTGCAGCCTTCATGTCTAGGAGGCAGAGGAGTTGTTTTGTGAGCTGGGTTCTCACCATTCAGTGTCTGCTAGTGGCAGAACCCACATATCACACTACTCTTTATTTCTGTTTGTGCTGGAGAAAACCCACATATGGAGATAATCATAAACGATCACTCTCCTAAGAGAATGAGCAGCTGACTAAGCTATGTGTAGCACCATTACTGCCTTCCCTTAAGGCACTTAATTGCATATCATGCAGAAAATGGACATTTCTACCATTTTTTTGATTTTAATTGAAATTCACATGCTGCAGTGAATATATATGAATTCAATAATGTGAATATATACTCATTCAATGTATAGTGACTATATATTAATTCAATAATGAATACAAAGCACCCTGTTTTATGCTGATGTATGAGAAGATTAAATTATTTCAACATAACAATTAAACTCCTGAACAAACTTTTTCCCATTTTCTACCCAATAGTTTTTATTTATCATGATTTTAATGTAGTGCTAAGTCATAATATTTTTATTTTGAATTAACTGTATTTCCAGACTGAAGTTTCATGAGCTTTCAGAAAGGTTCTGTCATATTCATACAGGTATTTTACAGGATCTATTCACTTCTCAATTTGTGGATATTAATGTAAGTATGACTCTATAGAGGCATGAAATGAACTCAAGGGTTTAATTAGGATGTGTTGGTTCTGTAATGTTTAATCCTTAACAGATCATCCCCCAGATTTTCTGCCCTTCTCTTGATTGAGCAGGCTATCTGCCACCACTCTCAGTGAGAATAGGACTTGTGCCTCATTTTGAAAGGTTTATCTTAATAATTAGTCAAAAAGTGAAAAATGTTCTGATTCACCCAAAAGTATACAAGTCTTCTCAGACACCAGGGATGCAGTCTTCTCTTCAATGACTTACAGGCTGACAATTCGGTTTTAGATTTGTGCATATGTTGTATGTTCAAAACCAGTGAGGCTTCAGAATAATGATAAATTGCTTGTTTTGTTGCCAAGCTGTTGCCAGCTTATATTTTGACACAATTTTTTGTCTGCATTTCTGTGTGGTTGTATTCTATTGCTGACCAATTTAAAAAAAAAAAAAAAGACTATTTTTCACAGATCTCAATCTCTAGAACTGTCTATAGCTTTTTTTAAAGAAAAAAAAACAACAGGCAAACAACAGTTGCAAAGACACATTAATACTTTTCAGCACAGCAATTGCCCAAGTTCCTCAGTCTATTCATCTGTGGAGTTGAACATAATGTTCAGTGATTTATTTCCCACATCAGTATAATGGTGTAGGAGGAGAAGGCACATACCTTCTGTGACAGAGGGGAAACAAGAGGACCCTGGTGTGGGAAAAAGAAAATTGGGGCTGGATGGTAGGAAGTTAGACTCATGCTGGAGTGATGGGGTGTAATCATGCTGTAGGGAAAGCAAGCTACCAGGAAAGTGCAAGTGTGTAACATCGCTGTTAGACTTTGCCTGTGGTCTGAGGGAGGGTGGGAAAGGAGCAGAGAGTCTGGGGAACTGAGCACAGGGGTTTCAGCAACAGGGCTGCACTTAGGACCTGAATATGGGATGCAGTAAGGGCTTTAACTCATATATCTGGTAGGCTTAGCTGTGACCTCTGGATGCCCACTTTTCTGCTAAGGGTTCAACAGAGTCCTAGAATAACTTAAGTTGGAAGAGACCTCAGGCAGTCCCTAACCCAAACTCCTACTATAAGGGTCAGCTTGGAGGCCACCAGGCAGAGAGGGGATGGTGGGGGTAATGTGTTGGCCATCTAGCATACTGTTTAAAACTGCCTTTTCTGGAGGAGTTAATGTCTTAAGCAGCTAAATACACCTGAGTCTGTAAGCCAGAGCCCAAAGGAGCGAAGGAAGAGGGGCAGAGCGGCTGTGAGGGCTGTGCATTTCTCACTGGGCTCCTGAGGTACACATTGGTGCCTGCCTTTTGTCTTGCTGACCAGGGAAAGCTGCAAAGCCAGCAGAAGGCAAAAGGAGCAAATGCCAGCCTGCACTCCTGGGGCTCACCAGGCTCCCTTCATAGCCCTCCTCCTCTGGCCCATCATTTCTAGTGAGCCATTGTCTGTGTCAAGATGATCTGTCCTTGGTTTCTTTGATTTACCTTGGTTCAACCCCCTCCCCGCAAATTGAGGAACATAGAAGACAATTTAAAGCCAAACTTATGGAACTTAAACCCCAGAAAATTAACAAAACAAAAAAAATTTTGTTAGCCAGTGTGTAGTAACAAGGTGCTATCTTGGCTGTGCTACTGTAACTTGCTTAAAATTCAACCCTGAAGCTGAATAAAAGCCAGGGTTTGCCAGGCTTCTGATCAGTCACGTATCTCTTCTAGCACCTCATCAGATCTGTGTAACTGCTCTCTGCTTCTTCACTTGGATTTAGCCCATTTGCTTTTCTTCTTCACTTGAATACATATAAACTGTTGGTGGCTTATCCACAGGAACAGTTGTCTTTTGTGTTCAGTCTTTCCTGGGTCTTGCTTTCCTCACCTTGGTGTTGCACCTCCCCTCTTACTTCAGTTTTTCCTCCAATCCCAGATGGCCTAATATATATTCTTAAAACCTTTCCTATTTTTAGATTCCTCTACATATTACACATCATACAGAGCATTAATTATACATACGTTCTGTTAAGCTCATGATCTCTTGTGCATTATTATCTATCTCTGGAGAAAGGGCTTGCCACATTTGAATGCATTATTAAAGTGGATGACAGGCTGAGTGACAAGTTTCATTATCTGGCTGCGTTCCAGTGCCTCCCTGTGCCCACTGCCAGCCTCAAAGATTGTGATCCCCCCGAAGCTGCAATTTGTCATCTCCAGAGAAGTAGGCAGTAGAATTTTGGGCATAACTCATCTCACCCCAAATTGGATGCCAACACTGGCGTTAAATGCTAGATTGCGTTTACCAGATCTTGGAGGAATGCAGAGAGCCCAGACAATGGGGTACTCAAAACAGGAAAAAAAAAAAAAAATAAAAAAAAATCCCTGTGGCATCAGTTCATTAAGCAACAGGTCTTTTGTTGTGACAGTGACTTCTTAGGTGGGTGGGCTGAGGTGGGGTTTGGCAGAGCTATGACAGCAGGGAGACAGAACAGTAATTAATTTCTGCACTATCTTGGGTTGACTGCTTCTTTCCTGGTTTTTGTCCTGTCTCTTTTCTAAACCTAGGTAGCTCTGCTATTACCAGTGTTGCCTGGATACCAGTGTCTTTCTCCAGCAAAGTTGTCACTGAAACACTGAATAAAGAAAACCATGTCAGGCAGCTTTCAGTGAGGCTTTTTCAGTTGAAGATTCTTTTATATTACTTACTCTTTTGCATAGACCTCCATCACTCTTGATACAGTTTAAACTTAAGACTTCTGCTATATCTGATTTTCTACTGACTGGATAACACAGACATAATGCTGAATTTCAGTTCTCTGTTTGCCTCTTGGTATGAACCTCTCTAGATTTATCTAGAGTACATCTGCTATCTAACCACAAAATTAAATTTTCCATCAGAACAATAGAGATACTGAGGCAAAGATGGTTGCAAAAAGGTTGAACTGTTATTTCAAGAATAAACCAAGAATTTCATGCTGTAGGCAGAAACAGAGCTCCTGTAACAGCATCCCATGTTTTAGGTTCAATGTGTCCCTTCACTGTCCTTCCTGGGCAGAGTCTTTCTTTGAGGCTTCTAAATGAATTAGTTATGCACCTCTCACAAAGGCCTTTCTTCATCTCACATAGGAGCTATTCAGCCTCTTTTGCTTCTCCTTAGGGGTAGATGCTCTAATGTTGTGTGCTGGAATAGAGCCATCTCTCCCAGGTGGCCAACAGTCTCATCCATTTTAAGTCCCCTTCTTCCCTCTCTAGCACGTGTCCACACTAAGCTGCTGATTTCTCATCCCAACCACACTACTACTGCTGCTCACCCACCTGCTTCTGCACATCCCAAAGAGGGAGGGCTAGGAGCCGGCACAGAGGAGAGGCAAGAGCTGAGCAAGGGAAAGCATTGCCCATGGAAGAGGAGATCATTTCCAGGCCTCACTTCGATTTGCCTGTTTCCTCATTACAAGTCACTCTAGAAGACCATGGGCAGTGCTCCTGTATGGTACATATGTTGGTTCTTCCACCTGCTTGTTTGCAGACATCATGACCTCTCTCTTAGTTCATACTAAATACTATGGTTTTGCAGTGGCTTTCTTCCTTGCAATTGTATTGCTGCTACTTTGCTTATAAGCCTCTAATATACCGAAGTCTAAAGAAGCAGAATTTTATCGCTCTATGAGGCAATTTGCCTTGAGCAAGTCCATGTAGTGAGTTGGTAGCAAAATGAGGAGTAAAATGGTAAGGCTGATCGGTGCCCAGCTTTCCTGACACTTCCACACATGACTGAATCAGAGCAGTTTAAGCAGTGTCTGCGTGGGAGATGGGAAGGGTATTTCATCTCTTCAGCCACGTAAGAGCCTGCTGGATACGTTTAAAATCTTACAAAGACTGAGGGTTGGTTAGTTGCCGGAATGGACTCCTGGCTGGTTATATCATCGTATGGTGCAGCAACAACAGCCATGAGATATATTTAAACTTGGCCGAGGGCAGCTTTTTGCTATAGCACTCGATATTATAACAAATATAAAAAATGTCTTTATATTTCTGTTCTAGGTAGTGCATTTATTTCTGTCTTATTCCTAAAGAAGACCATGAGGGCTGCTGATATATTGGGTAAGTAAGCGTTTGCTAATATGGACATTTGTGTCGCCATATGCTTAGCAAGCTGTAACTCTCACGCAGCCCCCACCTTCACACTCCCACTCTCCCAAGCAAGTGTTTCGAGGCAGATACTTTCAAAATTGGGAAGAAGTGACAAAAAGAGAGAATCTTCAATGCATGTGGAAAAAACTTCATTCCCAAATCTTCTGCTCTTATAACCATAACTCGTTCCTTATGTGTCCTTATTGCTCAAATTTATTTTCATTGTCTGTTTTTGCCTCTGTGGTTGTATTTAGTATTATTTTTATGAGTACAACACAATTTTAATAAAAACAATGAAGTTATTGAGTTACTCATTCAAATATAAGATTTTTTTTCTTACTGCATAAACACTGAACAAAAATTCAAGCTCAATTAAAAGTGACAACTTCCCTTTTGGTATTAGTTTTATCACTCCAGAGAACAAATAATCATGTTGTCAAGTGTTTTGTTGAGAAACATGGTCTTCCCTGTAAAAGCATGTCAACTTTTTGTCTGTGTCCAAGATTTTTTTTGCATATCAAAACTGCCCAGCTTGAACACAGTAGTAATAAGAGACAAGCATATTTCAGGGTTTGGGCTTTACACCAAGCCGTCTCGGATGGGACAGTGCACCTGATGTTGCTACAGGGCACCTGATAGTTCTGTGGGGTTCCTAGCATCTAGGCTTGATTGTCCATAATATAACGAGGACATCTCAGCTGTTCTCATGAATGTTTTGGAGAGATCTGCTCAGTATTGTTCCAGGAATACTATATAATATTTATATAGGTTTGGGGTCCAAGTTTGCCAGCTCAGCTGCTACATTCAAAATCCCCCCCTCCCTTGACTGATCATGTTTCCCTTATGGCCTTATACATTGTGTGTTGCTTTAACCAGTGTTCAGCACTGATTTATTTTATTTCTGTGAGTTCAACTTTGCAAGAAGGATTTAACAATGTTGCTACATTCCATAGGAATGAGCTGTATGATGGGAAATATGGTGATGTTTTTGCAAGCACATAAATATAGAACAGTTCTGCTTTTCCAAAGGAACTGTGTGCAATAGCAGTGCCAGCAAAGCCCTCCGGATGTGCTTTGTTTTGTATCCCTGAGCCTTGTATTCCACACTGATTCATAGGTTTGCCAAGAATTTTAAAGATTACTTGAAAAAAAAATGATTAGCTAATATCTTTCTTAATCCAATACAGTTTATGAGCTCAGGATGGGCTCACTTCTATCTTGATACCTCGATGAACATCTGTGTTTGTCAGTTGGCTGTCCACAAGGCAGAACTTCCAGATTTTTATTAAAAGCACAATAATGCAAGTTTGACCTTGAAAAGGGGCCCTGGCAACTTAATGGCTGAACAGTCTTTTGCAAATCAACCTTTTATAAAATGGTTCATAGGTCTGCAAATACAACAGGGAGCGGTCAAAATGCTGGCTTCATGACAGCTTCACGTAAGCATTGGACTGGAACGTATGTGTTGCACCTAATGTTTCCAGGGCAGGTCCATAGCTGGTGCGGATCTCTGTGGCCACACTGACTTTAGGAGAGTTATGTTTATTTACACTGGTTAATGATCTAGCTGTCTGCCTTATAAGCAACTTGTCCTTTCAGTTTAGGATAAGTTTCTGTGACCTGCTTTGTGCCTCTGAGAAATACAAAGGATCGATTCTCCTTTGTCATGCACTTGGTATTAGAATTGAGAATACTTGAAAAAGCACTGCTTTACTGACAGCTTTTTTCATATTTCCAAAATAAAAATTACACTAGATAAAGCCATAAATGAAAGGCAACCCAATTACCTAAGCCCAGATCTGATTAAATGGACTTAAATTTTCTTCTAGAGACTATTTCCAAATCATCTGGAGAGCAAGGATGACCATGATTACCAAATACTGTATTACCAAAATAATGTGTCTTCTTTAAAGGAGGAACACTGACAGTAACAGGGACATACTTGTTGGTGACATTTGCTCCAAACGTACCCCAAGAGCTCACAGCAAGACGAGTACAGAATTACTTAGTGAGCTGGCCCTTTTTGGTATATTTGGTGAGTATCTGGTTCATACTACTCCTTAAACGAGAAAAACTGGGGTTACTGGGCTTTTTGCAGCATTATGAATTAGTGGCAGAGAAGCTGGTCCTGAAAACAAATTGTGTGATTTTCATAAGCAATACTGGGTCATCACCCTGGTCCCTAAGATGAAAATATGCTGAACCAAAATATGTCTTTCAAACTATGCACAGGAAAGTCACAGTTGTGCAGGATTACCAAGAAGGGAAAGATTTTGGGTTTTGGTGGGTTTGAGGGAGAACCTAAATATTGGCACTGCTTATAATTCCTGTAGACGTGTTCATGCCATGCTGTCTGCATGTACATCTAAGTTTCAGAGCTTTTCTGGAATGTGATGGACTTGTCCTTTTAAAAATCAGGCTATGTATGCTCTTGGTTCTGCTTTTTTCTTTCATATCACTCTGGATTATCCCCATGTAGTTAAGCCTGGCCAGAAGGAGCTTTGTATGAAGTTGTGATGTGGACAGGTGGCCTGTTTCGCTGCCACTCAGGTTAATCTGAACCTGAGTTTGCATTCAAATACAAAAATACCATTTTGATTAAATTATCTGTATACAAACTTCAGATACCGTATGTCTTCTTTGATGTATTTAATTAGCATCAGGAACAAGACCAGAGTGAGTAGGAGGAATTTCTCTCTCTCTTTTCCTCTGGAATGCTGAAAATTTGTTCCTCCAGCTGAATGTAAAAGATGCAACATAAGAGTTTTAGAAGCAGTTACTTTCTTCCCTGTAAAGTGACTCTCTTGGGTTAGATTATTAGTGCCCGGGCTCTTCCTAGTAGGAAGCTCAATTAGAAAGCCACTGAGTAGACAGTTTAAGCACCTTAATCTTTTAGCCAACCTGCAGACTTTACATATTACATCTAATTATCCATGAGACTACTGGTTAAGCAGAAAGGACAAATGCTGGTCCTCTTGTTCAATTTTTGCTGCATTTTAAATGCTCCTGAAAGATGGTGATACAGCTCAATGGAAGAAATTAATGATCATACTTTGTAAAATCACAACATGCACTTTCAGTCAGGCAGTAGAGAAGTTTTTGAAGGCAAGGCCTAAGAGTTTTGGGGTGTTCAGTAAGGCTAGCTTCAGCTTCAGCAAGAGCTTCAGCAAATCCCTCTATTCAGCAGAGTGAGAGGGACTTCATTAAGAGGGGGCTCAGAACAGGGGTCTCAGTGCTCACTGGAGGACCTTTCCTACTGAATATCCCCCTCTACCATACAATTCTGTGTATAGATACTAAAACAGTCTGGCATCTTAGGCACTGATTTTAAATTGCTGTCTCACTCATTTGTGTAGAGGTGGTGGAGGGACAAAACTCCCCATCCATTCCCAGTGACACCGTTTCTGTGCCATATGCTGTTCACATTTTCTTAAAACCAACAGGTTGCTGGAAAAGGACTTTCCCCATCTGAGACTTTTTTGACTTTGTTTCAGGAAAAGTTAGTAAGAACACAATTAAATGCCTAGGAAGACTGTGCTATATTCTTCTCAGGAGACATTAGGAGGAGGTGGTAGATAACCCCTGGACTTTCTTTGCCCTCTTTTCCCTTTTCCCTGCCTCAGACAGCATCCAATTCTACATGTACAGCATGGTTGCAGGGAAGGATGGAGCAAGTAACAGCAAATCTTGTTGACTCAACAACATATCAAGCTTTATTTGTTCCTTCTGCTCCCTGAATTCATCTGGTTTGAGCTTCGTCTGTCCAAAGAAGACAGAGGAGGGAAAGACGACTCAAGAGACTCTGAGATACCAGCTTGATTATCCTGGTATGCTGCTGGAAGTTCAAGCAAACCCTGCTGTAAGCATTCTCTTTGGGCAGGGAACTAGCTCTTCATAATTGTTTGTGAGCTGCCCAGTACAGGTTGGTTGCTGAGATATAAAAAAGCACAGCAGAAGTTGCAGTTTCCAGTATAAATATATAGCAAGGAGACAGTACAGCAGTATAATGCAGTCCAACAGTCTTTCTAAAAGTAGCCCCAAAGTGTGGTCTGCTGAGAAATACAAAGCCCCAGTGGTACATAATGTTCTGAGTGGGTGATAAACCATCCCCATGTGGCACTCCACTGGCAACAGAGGAATTCTGCATAAATAGCCTCTAGTTCCCACATGAGACAACTTTGAGTCACCTTCTGAGACTTTGCAGTAGCATAATCATGTCTGAACAAGAATGACTATCCTAGCTTGTTTTTTTTTCCTCTTTTGCTTATGTGCACTTTGAGTCACTACAGAAGACATCAATTATAGATTAAGCTCTTAGGTTTCCCTAAGCAGAAGCCTTGTGAGTATTGGGTTGTTAATATTTAATCTCTATAAAATCAGGTTCAAAGCATTTCTGCTTTTCCTTCAAAGTGCCTAGAAGACCCTCCTGATTCTTTGGTCTCTATGTTCCTGTATATCTCAGAAAAACAGTTGAGGCAGACAATGCGGTATTTTGTTCTGGCACCTTCTTTCTGGTGATGCTTAGAAACTTGGAAAACATCATGATTATAAAAAAATGTTGATGAGATGTCGGCTTGAGGAGACTTCAAGAGAGATTAGTTACAATAGCAAAAATGATTGTAAGCAGGTCAAGTTCTTTCAATTCCTCTAAACAGAATATGTGAAGCTGATATAACCTACGCACTTCTCCTTCCTGGACTTTGTATTTAACACTACAACAGCTATCAACTATGAGACCGAGCACTATTTTGGGTAATTCTCAGGAGACAACTGTAGGCAAAAGCTGGGGCACCCCAGGAGGGTTCCTGTCTGCGTGGGTCCTGTTAGGAGCCAGGCACTCTGCTTGCAGTGTGACTCAGTGTGATGGCCTCTCCTTTGCCTTGGGATTAAAGGTGACCTGTTGGTGTGTCACCGAGTAGCAGAGAACCATGGAAGAATAGGTTGGCTGCTGGGCAGCACAAGGTGAGAACTAATTGTTTGAATTTCATGCTTAGTGTGCGAGACTTGACAGAGCTGAGTAAACTTAAATAATAGGCCCAAAAAGCAAACATCAGCTTTCTCCCCAGGACTGCTATCTATGGCCCTACAGCAGTGCTGCTCTTGGGGCTGCCCCAGGAGGCACAAGTAGCTAAGCAGAGTCCTGTGCACTTCTTCCAGAGCTGCCATCAAGGACTCTTTTATGCCCTTTTGATGGTTTTGCTTGGCTGTTTCCTTTCAGAAGTGAGTTCTTGGTGGGTTTGTTTGCTTTTAAGCATGACGAGATCACAGTGAGGCTTTATAGTAGCTTTAGCAAGAGAAGAGCTGATGTCAGGGTGAGAAGTGACAGAGGGCTTATGGACAGAGCCAACGGTGATGACCTGGTTCAGTTAAGGTCGGTGGAGCTTAGTACTACCCGCCACTCTGGGGGTCAGAGTGAGTTGGAAGAGAGAGTGGAATGCCAGAGCTGGTGTGATGGAGTGCTTTGAGCCAGCAAATGTCCCTAGGCTTGGTTTTGGATGATTGTTCTTGTGTTGTTTGAAATCTAAGTGACAGGGCAGATGATGGTGCTTTCCTCTATTGGCATTGTGATTAAAGTTGTCTAGGGGATATAAAATTAATCAATACCTGAGGTATAGATGGCTCCATACAGTAGGGCTGTCTCATAGGTTTCTGCACACTCTGTGGCAACCAGTCCAAGGGTCTGGGAGAGGTGATGGGTTTGTGTTGTGGGCAGAAGCACATCTCACAGTGCTGTGTCACCTCCTGCCATGGACCCATCCCAGTCACACCCATCCTGTGTGCCAGTCCTGAACTGGCATGTCGTGGAAGACGATACCTGGGACATCTCTGGAACTTCTTTCTTAGTCTGGGTACCTTTCCATGTGGGGAATATTTATTTAGCACAGCTTTCTTCTATTCTTTTAGCAATTGTTCACTGTCAAAATAGCAACTGAAGCTATTTGGAGGCTGTTGTAGCTGCAGCTTGATAATGTGATACTCCCCTCTGGCCCTAAAATGTGTTTGCTAGTGGCATGAAGAGTGAAGCTGCTACCTTACTTCTCCTCTCGAGTTCCCTCAAACCCCTGTTTTAGTTTTCCACAGGGAGGCCAAGATGAACTCATATGTCTGCAGATCTTAACATGACTTTTGCCTTGGTTCCTGATTTAAACATACCCAGTGTTACACTGTTGAATAAAGCTGGGGAGGCTGGCCAAGTTGAAACTGAGGCAAAAGCCTCTTTTCTAGCATCTGATGGCCCAGCTTTCACCTCTGGGTGCCAGGATGGTGGGGAGGGATGCCACTCTGGAGGGAGAAGGGCCCAGCACTTCACAAGAGACTGCAAAGGTTATTGAACAAGGACGAGTCAAGGAATGCTTTTTTTTTTTTTTTTAAACCACCACCAAAATGCTTTATTCAATATTTTTTACAAATAAAACCCAAAAAAAACCCCAATTTGTTGCAATTTTTTAAAATCTTGTGATAAATATTTGACATTTTTTAAAGAAAGGTGATGTAAAATCCAAATTTGTGGTTTTAATGTTCTGAAATACAGTTGTCTCTCAGCTGTCTTTAGGAGCAAGGGATCAGCATGAAGGTAAATAAAAAATGAATTAAAGGATAATTATGTTCTGTTCATATTTTTGAACACTACTAAACTGGGGGAGGTGTGAGTGTGGTAAAGAAGTTTAGTAACTGAATGTAACTGATAACTGCTTTCCTGCTGCAGTCACTCTCCAAAATGAGAAATCAGCTATATTACATTATATAACTGCCACTAGTAACTGTTCAGTCACTTGTTTAGAAATTTCATCACCACAACACTCAGGTATTTTTGAGTCTAGTGCTGCCTTATGGTGACTGTTGGTTTAAGAGTGGTGTGGTATTATAAAACATAAAATAGTATGGTGGTGACAAAACCAAGGAGATAGACACGAGTTTTTTCTTTGACTTGTTTTGTTTTTTTTTTTTTTGTCAAAAAATGACAATAACCATATTCAGTAATGATGACAATCTTTATTTTCTCTTATTTCCCCCATTTGATTATTTTGCAACATGCACAAATGAACTTCTTTCTTCACGCCGTTTCTAAGGCTACCAGGCTTCTGAGCAGCTCTCAGTGCAGAGGTCCTTTATCCCTCTTTATCTAAGTCTGGGCTTCACGGAAATTTTTGGCTCTTGCATTTTCTGTTTTCTTAAGGCATAGAGGGGTATTTGGGCAACACGGGTAGGAGGGAGATTACCCACACTTCTGAGATGGCAAAAGGCAAGAGTTACTAAGGGAATCTGCAAAGAGACACATTAACAGCAAGTCAGTAAATTTAACTGTCATCATTTAGCTGTTAGATGTTATTGAAGGAGCAAGTCTGGACAATGCATAGTGCATGTAAAGCTGCTTTGGCAACTGCAGATGTCCTGCAGTGTGGTCTGCTAGTGTGTCATTGAGCTTTTCAAGGTAAGCTCCTGACAGGTACCTGTGATTTGAGAAACACCACATGAAATAGATGTTTTTCTCCTTACAATGTATGTCAGAAAACTTGAACAAAAAGACAACGTTTGGGGGGATTTTTTTTAGTATGACTGGGGAGAAAGACAAAGAAGGTATCAAAAATAAGCTTGCATGTCACAAAGAGTGACACTAGGAATGCCATAGCTAAGAGACTGCTGTTCCTCCAGGTACGTGCGTTACGTCATAGGAATTATAAACAGAGTTTCTGTAAGAATTATTACCAATAAACGTGTATCTTTGCTGTCATATTTAAAAAGTCTTCTCAACACTACCAGTGACAAAATAGAGCTAGAAATGCAAAAAGAAAAACTAAAGAAATAAGAAATGCTCAAAGTTTAACTTCTGCTATAATAGGAAAGATAAATGACAATTGCTTGATAGTTCAGTCAACTGGCAATAAGGTGTGTTTTTAGCAGAAGATACTTAATAAAGTAATTCTCCTTTGAACTGTTAGAGCAGAGAAAATGGATGTGACATCTCAAAGACTTTGAATGAAGCATATATTACATAGCTTCACAGCTCTAACTTTCTTCCCTTTTGTCTTCAGATTTTAGGAATTATAATATTCTGCATTCTCCTCTATTTTTACAAAAGAAAGGCTGCGAAACACATCGTGGTTTTGTTAATGATGGTAGCACTACTGGGTAAGAACATATTATTCACTTTAATGTTCCTGTCTGTTACCTGACAATTCCTTGTTGCTCAGTCTCCCCAGCTAGTTTAGATTTGGGGCCATTTCAAAGTAGTGTGCTGGAGGAGAATCACTGAAACTGTTCACATGAGCCTTACTGTAGTCTCTTTTAGAAGAAAAAAAACGATTATGAAACATAGTTTCTATGCCTATTGCTGGGACTATTTACAGATTTTTTGAAACTAATATGCTATGTGAAATGGTATTCTGCAGCTTTTTTTGAAATAGCACATTAGCTTTAGATTCTGGGAAAGTGGACTCTTTGAAACTTTCTTTTGGAGAGCAGGCTGACTGTGAAAATGAGTTCTTTAAAACAGCAGCTTAAGACCTTGTAAGCACTCTGTAAACAAATGCAGTGATATGCTGTGACTGTACAGGAACTTTTCTTTGAATTATCTATGCCTTTTTGCATATGCAACATTTCATACTTTACCACTTTTCCAGAAGCACAACAAGAACTCAGGGCAACACTGAAGTTTGACTTCTGATTAATGTTACCACAATCAATACTCAGGGAAACATTTTATTGGGTAGCTTTCAATAAAGTTAAACTTGAATCAGTTTTGAAAAATGTCAGGAGGCTGTCTCTAAAGCTTGTCGCTTGCAGGCATATATTAAGAATTTGTCACCACCCTGTGTCTTCTGCTATCCTTGTCTTGTCAATTCTCCATGAAACCCTGATGTGACACTACATTTATTTGGTTGAAGTGAAAAGGTGCTTGAGCTGTGCCATTGAAGTCAATGGTAGTATCTTCACTGAGCTCAGTTGGTGCATGTATCAGTCTGCAAAGACTTATAAAGCACATTTCTAATGGAGCTGGTCATAAGTGTTTTGATAAAACAGAATTTCACTAAGGTTTGCCAGTTACACAATTTGGATTTAACTGAATATGAAAAACTCTTACAGATTTATTACCTTTATTATTTATTTATTTATTAACTTCTTTCAGATCCCTGAGTGGTTTCTTACCCAAGCAGAAAAGCTCAGACTTTCAGATCAACTTTTTGGGACAGTCTTCCCATTTAGGTGGGAAGTGTCCCATTCACAGTGCTAGGAACGTTAGGATCGGTAGCTCTGCAGAAGCACTGAAGGATTTCCGTGATCCTTGCGTGAGGCAAAGATGGAAGAGCCCCAAAAGCCTCAAGTCTAATTGTTCTACTGCTCTTGATTTGGAAGAGTGAAGTGTAAGTCCAGCCATCCCCCAGCTCCTGCCTAGGAGCTTTGGCAGAGCTCACCTGAGCTGCTCTGCAGCTTCCAACCCTGCGACGAGGAGTGTGAAGCACTGCACACTCCTGAGCAATGATCAGGTCCAGCCTCCTTGTTGCATAGCTGGAAGCCTGAAGATCTCCAGGTGGGCTTCTACACTTTGCTGCAGTTCTGGCCAGACCCACCGTGATGGCTGCCCCAGACAAGGTCAACTCATGGCTCCGGGAGACCCAGCCCTTTGGGCTGCATAACCCTGCATGCTTATTTTGCTATGAAGCCTGCCAGTCCTGATGCCACCAGTGCCAAAGGGACACGTGGAGCTGCTGAACAGCAGCAGGGCTGCAAACCCGTGCCCCAGTAGGCACTAACTGCATTTTGGTAGTCAGGCTGCAATCAACCAAAAATACAATTTCAGCTGGTGGCTGCTGAGGTTTTGGTGAGCATATGCAGCTTGAGGAAAAATGTGTCATTATTTCTGCTCTATTAAAAAAGACACAAACAAACAAATCCTGGTTCATGTGAACTTTTGAAATATTGATATTTCCCTTGAGCAGGAAACCCAGAACTGTGGCTGGCTCCAGTTCCTGCAGCTGTCCTGGTGCCTGGCAGTTCTCACAAAACTACACTTAGAGTCTTCTGCTTGGTTTCCGACCCTTCTGCTGAGCAAAGTGATGGAGGGGGGGCGCTGAGAGAGGACGCAGCAGCTTTGCTCCCAGCCATCTGACATGTGCACTGCCCTCGGAGGGTCCTGGTTGGAGGAAGGCTAGATGAGGCTTGGGATCTCAGTGGTAGTTCATGGAAGGGGATTTCTGCCTTTTCTCATATCTGCACAGATATATACCTGGTGAAGGGTTCGTACAGGTATCAGTTGGGTGTAGAAACATTTCTTTAAAGAGAGTGCAGCCTCTGTGTTTCACTGGATATGAGATCTACTTTCATTATGAAAAAAATACAGAGGTGATCATAAAATCTGCAAACATTTTGCTTAGTACCACTCTGCAAGTTCATTTGGTGAGAATTATCTTACCTCATGTATATACTGGGAGTTATTGTAAGTTTGGGGGAAAATATTTCAGATTAAAGTGGGATTTCTGAGTTTCCTGCCCTTACAGCTGGAAAGTGACATCATTTATCATAATAGCCTGGGGGTGGGGGGGTGGAGGGGTGTTCTATCAGAGATAGGAAAACCATTTCCTAGGTTTTGAAACTTATTCCAGGGCTACTTTAACTAAAAAGATCATTCCATTTAAAACAAACAAACAAACAAACCAACAACACCCCCCCAAAAAAAAAAAACAAAAAACAAACCAACCAACAAAAAACCCCAAACCAACCAACCTGCCAAAGAAACAAAAAACCCTGATGCTTTCTCTTCTGGTTTGTTAAAACTATAAGGGATGGAAACCACCCTTTTAATAGAAACAATTTTTCAGCACTCTTTACCTTTAGTTGGACAATTCAAACTACTAATTTTTACCTGTAAGTGCTCTTTTAAAATAATCATTCTATGTTAGAGTGCAAACCTCATTTTTTATGTAGGCTGCCTGTTGGGCTTGAGTGTATTTTTTGGCTTTTTATTGTACCATTAGCACCACTGCAAGCCAGCATTTGACCTCCTCTGCTCAGTTTTACTGCTGTATTTGTTAAACCACTCCACCTATTTCCATTACAGAGCAAGAAATTAAGTACTTGGTGGACATTTTGTCATGAAAACAGTGAATTTCATGATGGTGAACAGGATCATCACAGGATGTATGCGACTCTTAAACTTCTCCTGAACTTTTTGACTTGTTATAAGAAAAATGCTTGCAATCAAAACCACAGACCCGAATTTGTTCTTCTTCCCCACCTTTTCTCCCAACACTTGGCCTGAACTTTTTCCACAGTGCAGCTCTCCTTGCCAATCTATATTTTGCAGTTTTGGGAGGATGAATCAGACCACTGACACTCCTCACCTCTGGAAGAGGGTGGAACTGGATCCCAGCTGGTGGGCGGTGCTCCTGACGATTAATTACCTTTCTACAAAGGTCACCTCTGCAGTCTGGTTCTTCTTATCATTTTAGTTTCTTTTGATTTTGTTACATTTTATTTGCAGGAATCACAGGCTACTTGGGTTAGCTTCAACAAACCAAGAGCACACTCCAAAAGGAAATCTAAAGCAACTCTCAGCCCCTTTTCTAAAAGATGTGTATTGCAAGACTTCTCTGAACTGGTGACATATATTTGAATCATTGCTTGCTGACTGGGATTTGTTTGTAGTGATGCAATGACAGTGACTAAATGGATTAAAAACACACTACTGAAATATTCTATTCTGTGGGCTAAATCCAGTAAATAAATGGTCTGAAGAGCCTGATCCCTGAAATGAAATGCAGATCCCTGCACTGATTGTCTGCTCTCCGTACATAACCCGTAGGGACAGTCAGGTGCTTCAGGATGTGATCCCAGAAGTCAGCTTTGGCCAGCTCCCATCTCAGCATAGAAATCCTGAGGGTGAAGAGTTATTTTAGGCTGCCAGTGTCACATGCAGGCTGCTATTAGGTGTCCCAGCTGCTTTGAAGAGATAATGAGACCTCTCAGAGCTCTCCTGAATAATGCAACATGGGCCCCAAATTAGAAGATGTAGCTACATAAAGTATGTCTGGAAGATGCGGAAGCTGTTGTACCACCTCCAACTGGTAGTCCAGTGTTTAGGGCATATGCCCAGCAGTGGGAAATGGAACCAGTTCTTTCCTCACCCTGAGTTAAGCCCCTCTCTCTCTCTCTCTCTCTCTCTCTCTCTCACACACACACACACACACACACACACACACACACCCCCACACCCCCACCCCCCACCCTTGCAAGATTTTATCTGATGTTAACCTCAGCTACCCTGTTGAAAATGGGAAAACTTTGGGTTGATGCAGGGTTGAAGACCTCAGTGCTACAAGAACTTAAAAGCAAAATGCAAAGTGCACATGGAGCTAAGGCCACTCTGAGTTTAGGCAGTAGCTTAGCATGTGTTTATAAAATCACACACTTGGTTTTAGGTGCCCAAATCCTTCCTCGGTGTCTTTTTAGGCAAGGAGACCTGTGGCTTTAACCTGACAGCTTGTCCTCCCTTACTGATGCTCTGAGGTCGCTGCTGTGAATCCTGCCCTGCTAATCTCTCCCTTTCCCTTTCAGCATCGCCGACTGTCATTGCTGTAAAGGCTGTGGCCAGCATGATAACACTCTCTGCGAAGGGGAAAATGCAGCTAACTTATCCTGTTTTCTATATCATGATTGTTTTAATGGCAATTTCTTGTGCTTTCCAAGTCAAGTAAGTGAGATTCTGCTTGTCACCTAACCTTTTTATTTGACATTTTATCTGTCAGTTTTATTCAGTACAAAGTTGCCCTTAAAGGCAATAAATTCCTGGCAGAACCTTGACAGATGCATGAACTGCCTACAGCTGATTGTATTGTTTATTTAGGCTTTAATTCACAGTTTATAATTTATTATTATTATAAATGCTACCTTCTCTCGCTATCACCTTATACAAGGTTTTCCCAAATTTGCTTCTAGTTTTGGCACAGGTCTTGAACTCACTAAATGAAATTTATGTTTATGTAAATTTGGGGAGGGTTACTTTCAGAAACCTCCATTGTTGAATAATCAAATGGCCATGTTTACCCTTGTTAGGCATCTCTTTTCCCCAGCTTATGTCACTAGTCAGACAAAAGAAGAGAGTTTATCTCGAATGTCTCCCTGCCTCTGTTAAATTTGCATACTGCTTTTTGCTACCCTCTATGTCTGTATCTTTTTAGGAAATAGTTAACTTTCGATGTGCAGGGGACATCAAAGTTTTCCCCTCTGGCCTCTGGCCTGTTAAGTGATTGTTTTATGCTACTTTTGCAGATTGCTGGGGGTGGCAGCATGATAAAATACAGCTTGCAGCTGAATAGAGAGTCCGTTCCCTTTATGTCAGTCTCTCTGTTTCAGGTGCTGATAGCATCATTTAGTAATCTCATCTAGACTGCTTCAGTGCGAGTCTGAGTGTTTACTTGTGTGATTATTTTCCAGTAGAAGAGCCAGCCCATCTTTCTCGTGGCAGAACATACCATTCCCATGTGGAATCAGAAAGTCCATGCGTTATTATGCAGTGACTCTCCATGGCTAACTCAGGAACTCCCCTGTAACAGATTATAGAGTGATTTACATCCAGCTTGTCTTCTCTGGGAGAACAGCTCAGGGCATTTAAAATAGGAAATAAAAGCTTGGTAAATAGGAAGCTGCTGAATTAACCTCTCCTTCTTGCCAGTTTTTTCTTTCTTATTTTTTTTGCTGGGTCAAAATTAAAACTGAAGTGAAATATGCCCATTTCATTCCCTGGCTTCTGTGTCTCTTTCTCTCTTCTCTCTTGGATACATTTTCTAACAGAGACAGTGCTGTCAATCTAAATTTTTTATTTTATTTGTTTCCTCTCTTATTTTATTTGACTGTCAGAACAGCCTGTGCTTCAACATCCTCCTGGATTCAATACTGGGCCTTGGTATCACTGGTTTAGTCCCTGTGACCAAGTTTGTTGCAAATGGGAGAAAATAATGAGGTGTTTTCAATGACTTCAAAATCCCGACTATCCTGTGGATATGTAGGATTTCTTTATTTTTAAAGCACCATGGAGACTGTTCAACAGTTGCTAAAATAACCATGCAATTACTTTAATGGCTAAAACAGATCCAAGCTTGGATTTTACTGTGCACATATATTGTACCAGTGAAATATTTAAGTGTGGTTCTTTTTATAGGCTTTGAATACACTCTGCAGCCTCCTGATCTTTCTCTTTTGGTCTGAAATGCACTGTTCACATAACAAAGTATCTGCCGGTGCATCCAAGAGTTCACACTCATAATTCATCACCCTATGGGTAAATGTTGACAGCTGTGGTCTCCGTACAAGTGGGTTAATTGCTTTGCCTTTTTCATCCGTTGATGCAGACTGCACAGGCTGCTCTGTGGCCAGTGTCTCGGTCCTGCAGGTTTGTGTGTAGTGTATGCTCCTGTGGCCCCGCATGCTCTTGCTCATGATTCTGGTGAGGGTTTGTGTTGCTATTCTGAGAGCACAGCAGAGAGTTTCCAACCCAAGGAGCAGAGGATTGGAGCCACCTTCCCAGACTTTCCCGGCAGGACAGAGTGTGTCTGGGGTATGACTGCATGAGTAAACATACAAATACATGGGTTATCCAAGTTGGATTGAGCAGTAGCAGCAATGTGGACTTCAGCAAAGTGAAACAAGTCGCGTGTCTATGCCTGTGCTGGACATACACCCTTGTACAACCTGTTTAAATTAGAGCAAGTTGTCCCTGGCTGCTTGCAGGCAGCCCTGCTTCCAAGAACCAATGCATACCATAAGCAGTAATGCCCTAGCATTCCTCCGTTATCTGTGGCAGACAATTTTTTTCCAACAGTGCTTCAAAGGACTCTCTGATGACAGCCTATGGCTGGAAGAATCCATGCCAGCCTTTTTGCTTTCGCCTATTTGTTTGTACTCTGCATAGTCAAAATCAGAAAGTAAAGTCAATACACACACACACACACACACACATATCTGTCCAGGGCTACTAGCCATTGTGGTAAGAAATAGTCACACTTATTGTTAAACTGACATAAAGTGGCTTAACCTGACTTAAAGTGCAATGAACCTCCTGTAGGCATGAGGTGCAATAACGCTTTTCTTGCAGGTTCTTGAATCAAGCAATACATCTGTGCAAAGTGACAGCAGTTGTGCCCATTAATTTTGTGTTCTTCACCACCAGTGCCATCATTTCAGGTTTGTTTCTGGCCTTCTGCCTTTACAGAATGATTTTCTAAACATCAGGTTTTCAAGAATTACTGCCTGTGAACAGGAACACAAACCAGTCATGTTTGTCTTCACAAAAATAAGTTTTTCCTAAGTGACAGGTGGTTAAGTTCTGAAAAGTGAGTAAGTTCAGAACTTTTGAAGCAAAATAAAAATACTCAAATTCTAGCATTTCTAGAATTGATGTGTATGGTTTACTGTGCCTTGCTGGCTTACTAGAAGATCCTGAATTTATACTAGCCTCATCCTGACATCAAGTAAATGAGTTTACCATGTGCACACCAGCCTTTCCATATCCGAACTGGTAGAGTAATTTTAACAGCCTGGCAAACTACTCAAATGACAACCAGCTGTGTTTCATAGCAGTTAGTGTATATTCCGTTTCAGAAGGTGGAATTCTAGGTTAAGTGAAGGAAATAAAATGACTCCAAAGACTTTTTAAGCATTTAACATTTTATTCTGGGTGAGAACTTTGAACTCAGTGTTGTTAAAGAGGGACTGCAAATCTTGGAAATGGTGCACAGCATAAGAGCATGAGCAGGGAGGACGACTAAGATGCTGTATCAGCAATGAGCCAAAATGATCATGTTGTTAGAACATTTATGACTCATTTTAACACACGCTGGGGGCTTTCCTGTCATTGCCGTGCAGGAGTTTCTCATGCAGAGCTGCCATTAATGAGAAGGGGAGTTAGCTTCATGCACAGATTGCCTCAGCACCTGTGTTAGAAGAGACCTACACTTTGTGACTGAGAGGAGACTTGTGCCAAAAGGGGGTTGTGTTCTTGTGACCATATGGGGAATTTGGCCTTGTGCCTCCTTAAAAGATCAAGTACCTATTCAGGAATGGCTTAATAGCTTTGTGACTGGATACACATGCATTTGCACTGGGTTAGTTAAACCAGTGTAGGGCTTAGAGGAACAACCTCTGCTGAATCTTTCTGGGGTGCTTGTAGAAGGTACCTTGTCTTATGATTCCCCCATTTCCAGTTACAGCCTTTGAAGATACAGTCACGCTTCATCTGTGCTGGTTCACACTCTGGTGTTTCTAAGAAAACTATGCTCATCAGTGGTTTAAAGCTAATATACTTGGCTGTGAATTGGGGCAGCTGAGATCCAGATACACATCTGGTTCTGTCACCTCCACTGCAGAGGTGCTAATTCCTGGAAGAGGGGTGACCAGAAAGAGCTAGTGATCCCTTCAGCCAGAAAGATTTGGCAAACTTGGCTGCTAGAGCCCCTAACTTGGTGTAAGCATCAGGGACACAGCTAGTTGTGGAAAACCTGTTCCCAATTGGAGTTAAGATGTCCACATGGTCTGTTGGAGTGGCTTAACTAAATCCATGAAGAACCTGTTAGCTATATTAGTATGACTCTGTGAGTAAGACCTCAAGTTTAACCTGCATAAAAACTGTTGCTGACAATGCAAAAAATACCTGCATCTGTGCAGTTACTAACACAGCACATGCTCCAACCTGATAAACAAAACCTTCTCCAGTTCCATGCAGTATCTTGAGAAAGCCTACGTAATGGAATACGGGCACATAAAGTGAACCCATCACAATGTGTATTAATACCTTATTTGGGATTTTTTTGCTCCATTTGAGCATGACACTGCCCCTGACCCACCCAGCTGTAATTCATATCACTTGGAAGCCAGTCAAGATCTGCAATTCTTGTTTCTGTCACATTCCAGGGGTCATATTTTATCGGGAATTCCAAAGTGCAGCTTTGCTGAGTGTGTTCATGTTTCTGTTTGGGTAAGTGTATTGGCCTAAAATCTGTCCTAACGTTTGTACTGAAACAGCATTGCCTGTCGGAATCCCTTCTTTTCTCAGTAAGAAGAAACCACTCTTGTTATTAAAGTATTATGGAATAGCCATTATACTAGGATAAAAAAACATTAAAGGAAAGATTGATGCCTGTGCTTAGGGAATTTGGAGGCCTGGTTTTGAATCCAAAGATGTGAAAATGTGAGACACTTCTGAACTACTAATCTCATGATGGAATGAAAAAACAGCAGCATGTGTTCCTGCAGTGGGAAGGAGAAATCACTGCTCTCCACCAAAGATCATGTTATAGGGGGTGTTTTTACAACTACAAGAAATCTCTTCCCATTGCTACCTTCCACTTGCGTTTCTGGCTGGTCTTTGCTGCCACTAGGTGTGGGCAATTATATGAGTTGCTTGCCTACAAGGCACTGCTATATCATCTCTCCCCAGTCTTCCTGTGCTGAGAAAGACACAGCATGCCTGTGGAAAAGTTCAGAGCGTGCTAAGAAGCTGTTAACAATAAATGTTTAAAGAAGGGCCTAGGTGTTGTGAGAGCAGAAACCTTCTGCTGGCTACCAGCACTGTAACAACTCTGGGGACAGGTGACAGTTACTTGATAATGAGTGTGAGATGGTTAAAAGCATCTCCCAGAACTGTGGGAGGTGTGTTGCCACAGTGCTGTCAAATAAACAAGGATGATGGCTACAGACATCTTCATCCTCTGCAGTTGGACTGGAATAGGTGCACACAACCGGTATCTTGTCTGATTGCAGGAAAAGTCACCAAAAAAAATGGAGATTCAACACATGTATTTGGCAGGCAGGAATTAGTGGTTGTGTGTCCAACACAGAGCGGATAGAAGATTTATCCAAACATAGCAATTTTTCATTGCTCCTGGCTTACAGCTTGCCCCTGAGACACACAGTCAAATGAGAAAAACAACAGCAATGTTGATTGTCTGTAGCTAGACTGAGTTGTTAATGAAATTACAAATGCTAGAAGGCTAGTTTAGATGCTCTGTAAAGATTTGCTCAGGGATTCAAATATTGTGGTCTCACAATAGACATCTAATTAGGTATATATTGCTGAAAGCGTAATTTTGCCTGTGGAGCCCTTGGAACTGATAGTAAAGCTGCAGAAGTCAAAAACTAGACTGAAAAGGAGACCAAGATGGATTTATAGAGCTGCCAGAAACAAAAGCTTCTTTGCAAACTGAGCAGCTTGGGTTTGAAAGTCCTTGAAAAAGAAACATGGAAAGAAATTCTCATCTCAGATGCAGTGAACTGTTCCTAATGATACTATGCCACTGCTATTTTGCAGGTGTGTCCTGTCTTTTCTTGGTGTATTTGTAATTGCAAGAAATAAAAAAGAGGAGCATGTACAAATTCCTTTTATTGACTATGGACATATTCCTGGTGAGTAGGGCTTTTTTTCTGTCTCTCTTTAAAAATGAGTTATCAGATAATGGGATGACTGAGGAGAGTTGAGTCACAAATGTGCTCTAGTCATATTTAATAAATACACTGTTCCCTTAATTTCTATTCCTGTTCCCAACAGATTTTTCAAAGAATTTTTCAGAGTTTTTCCAAGCTATTGTTACAACCAGTCAAATGAAAACAATGATTACTGGAGCAAAGAATGTTTAAATGATGGATTGGTGGGGGATTTGTTTTATTAAAATTCTTCACAGAATTGTTGTTTTTCCTTTCTCTCACCCCATTTCCTTAGGACAAAAATTGACAGGCAAAATACAACCAGATTCTCACATTTCATGCTATGGCACTTTGAATAATGAAGATGACTCAGTGAAAAGTCAAAACTGAAAGAAGCAGGCACCTTACATGACAATTAACAGGAGGTACACCACTGGAACAAGGATCATCAGCACCATTTTATTGGACATATTCAAGTATATGTTGAACTTCCGTATGTTGATGAGTCAAAGTATTATTTAATCCTACTTAATTTATCCCAAGGTTGTTCCAAATGTGTTCCGAAGATAAAGGAATCCTTAAGAAAAACTAAATAACCATTAATGAAATGGAAGTTCTCCTAATATCAATGCCTCTTGGGGATATTTTTAGAATCTTAATTGTCTTGAAATGCAAATAAGCACAGAACAAGATTATAAAAAAATTCCCCTTTGAAACCCCTCAGATCTCTGTAGATGCTTAAAGACAAAGTTGAGAAATGAGAAGAATTTTTGTAAGTGACTTCAAAGTATTCTGCTATATGTATAATCCCTTTAAAAATCTCATCTTTCCTGTTCAGGTGTCAAAACTGTGGGCATATATACAGTATACACAATGTGTACACACAAAGTATTTTATATTATGTGTAGAGGGAAGATCCTGTTTATCTTCTGCCAGCAGATTAATTCTCTTATTTTCCTAGGAAATAAACAGTTGTGTGAGGAGGGGGACAGAAGACAGTATTTGCCATAAACGTATGTACATGCGCCCATGCACACATTTGAGGTGCCCAGCCAAGGCAGAGCTGCTAGGGAACCATGCTTGACATTTTACATCTTCCCTCCAAGGGGAGTCCTGTGCACTGGGCTGGACTGAACTGGGCTATACTACCTGTTAGTATAGTCTGTCCTGAGATTTAGACTCTGTTTTCAGGAAAACAAGGTTTTAGTGAAAAAACTAACAAGCTCTCCAGAGGAAATGGGGTAGCCTGGCTCTCTCCTTTGATGTGTGTTGGAAAAATACTCCCAAAAAAGAAAACTAAGGCAACTCCTGCCTCCTTCCTAAACCACTGGTAATCCTGCCTGAGGAAAGGCTGTAAAAAACAGGATCACAAAGAGTCATGATAACAGTACAGTTTTTCCTTCATTAAATGGTAGCGTCTCCACACTGGTTTGAAGAGCCAGCAGTGATGGGAACCATGGCAATACAGGCTCTGTGTTCAGGTCTGGGAGGTCTTGGTGTCTCAGTCCCAGCCTCCTGGTAAGAAAGCTGCTTCTGGGCATTCATCATGGGTCCACTTACCCCTACCTGGTAGCATCAATCTACCTCAGCTGGCAGAGTGGGGTCAGACATTTTCTCTGCAGAAACAGGTGAAAATGCTCTTAGAAAGTGTTTGTATCTTGGACAAGATACTTGTTTTAGGTTTGAATTAATCTGCAGTAATGGACAGGGGCCGTAGGCTGTGTGTATTTTGTTTCAGTGGGATATGAGGAAATGAGGTCTCCTTTTTTACCCAAATAATTGTTTATTTCATTTAAAAATAGGTACAGCTGAAGATCTGTAAGACAGTTTCATTTCAAACCCTACAAAGCACACTCAGTGCTGCAGTTTTTCCTATACAGCAATGTCCCTGGAGCCAGGGTGCGGGGGGGGGTGGTGGTTTGTGAAGCTGTTTTCCAATGTGGATCTTTTCCAGCTGGCACAGGACGAGACTTTGTGTCTGCACCTTACTTGTACCAGCTGCCTGGACGTGGCCTTCCTTTCCCCTCTTACAGCTTGAGTTCAAGTTTCTAAAGCTTAAAATAAAAAAAGCACATTCTTTTCATATGCTTTCTCCAGGGAGTAAGGGCATGCCTCTATCTTTCTTTTACAAGTCAAATTTAAGCCGCTTTCTAAGTCTCAAGTGCAAGTGTGCGCTGAAGATGGAAATAGGAGGCCTACAGGTTTTCATTCTGTGACCTGGGAAACAAATGAGTGAAAGGATTTGGTTTCATTTCTCTTTTAAGTAATTCGCCTTGGGCATCTTTCTGAATTCTGTTTCCATGACTCAGGAGAGCTGGAGGAGGTAATAAAGGTTACCAGGTATAGGATTTGCTCTTTAAAGCAAGAAATCAAATGTAAAAATCTGTGACAATAGCTATGATTTATTTTAAACTACTGTATTTCTTTTTGAACAACACTTTTTTCTTCCTGTGGGTTTATACAAAAAATTTAAGGGTTAAAATGTTTTATTTAAACTTAAATGTAATTGAGATTAGTTTATGGAGCAAAACACTGGTAGGAATTATGTGCAATTAAAAGTTGTGATTTGACATAATTTTGAGATGTGAGCACATTCCAACTAATTAATAGATTAAAGATCAGGAAAACTCAGTGACAAGAATTCATTACTGTTCTTCTAAGAAAGGGGCATGATTTATTTCAAGAATCAGTTTCTAATCAATGTCATTTTCAGATTCTGCTTGCGATATTTAGGTTGCAAACATCACAGACAAATGCCTGCTAAAGAAAAATCTTTTCACTGGAATACAAAAAAGTCTCTGGAGCTCTTCTCTTTAATAATGAGTTATTTTCTTGCAATGTTTTTCCTGACATCAAAAATGTGGGCCAGACATAAGCTGCAAAAACTTGCACCTGCAGACTGAACTTTCTTGAAGAGATCCTCCACAGGATCTGAGGGAAGGCGTGGTGGGCAGGCAGCAGCTCACGTGGTCCCCCCAGGCTCCAGTTTGAGATTTTTGACAGACCAGAACCAGCAGGACTCGTTTAGTGCTTGTTCCACTGCTGGTCACGCTGTGGTAAGAGATGAAGTATTAACTGGCCACAGGCCTGGAAATGGGAGCTCTGGAGTAGTGCGAGGCAGTTTAACTTTTGCTGTAAAATATCAGGATGCATTTAGCAAACAGTTTCATCTGGCAAAAAATAAATGAATTTTGGATTGGATTTGTATTTCTGCCCATAGTAGGGGCCTGGTGTTCACCTGGCAGGCTTCCTGCCTGCTCCTTGCTACAGCCCAGCTTTTGGTGGCCTCATGTTTTATGTGTAAGAGCTCTGGTCACCTAAAACCAAAGGAGAGAGGTGGGACATTAGAGGGGCTTGAGCTTCTGTGCTTTGAACCTGTGATTTCATGCACCTGGCAAGCTGCTTGAACTGCTGCTAAAAGTCTCATCCTCTTTTTCCTGGCGGTGAGGTCCTGCGTGGCCTCTAGCTCTCTGTGAGCCAGTTCAGCTCGCTCACCCTGCAGAAACCCTCTGCTTTCTAATCCTTGCTGGGTTGGGTCTCTGAGTGGAGCTAACCAGGCTGACTGGAACGCCTGGTGGGAAGGAGAGAAACTATTCAATTATCTTTCTCCTTTTGAGGAGCTTCACTATACAGCAAGCATCCTGCTAAGCTCACTCTTCACGTATCACCATGCCCCAAATGCAACAGTTACAAGCTTCCTGAAGCACTTTTAAGAGTCTGACTCCTGAAGCAAAACCCCGAGCCGGACTCATTGGGTTGTGCATAGTGAACATTGAGTGGCTCCACATGGGGCTGAGATCAGCAGCTTGTGGCACCAGGAGTATCCTAAGGTCAACTAGAAGCCCGCACACATGTCTGCCTACTACTTATTCTAAGGACTGTTTGTTTTCTTTCCAATGACTGTTTGCTATAAGGTGCATAAACAGTGCTGGAAGGATGGACTGAAAAGTTTTCTGAACTCAACATGGTCTACCCTTGCAATCTCTCATTCCAACTCACTTTATGCAGGATCGTTGGTTGCTTGCAGAGAAAATGTTGCCTCTGACGACACTAGGGTGCAGATGATTTGACTGAGCTGTCTTCCAGTTTGCCCTGTTGTTACTGTCCACAGAGGCTTGGCTTTTTTCTTGTTTAAATGTGTTTGTTTATTCCTTCTGGAGCAATCAGCTGGACTGTGTTAGCAACTAGCCCAAAGGAGATAGAAGCTCATTACCATAATTATTATTGGAGGGCCAAGCTGGAAGACTTACACCCTGAGGCCACTTCAAGAGCAAAAGATAGAGAAATGTTTAGCATTCTGGATTCTCAGGAGTTTGAGAAATTCTGTGTTTCCAATTCTGTGTTCTGGGATAGAATTAGTGAATGATTAGTGATTCATCAGTGAATAAATAGTGATCCCATATATTTTTGTATGTGGTTTTAGTTACTGATTTGGGAGTGAAGAATGACTATTCTCTGCCTAGAGGAAATAAGACATTCCCTTGGCAGATGGGAGATGTTGCAACATTTTGAAGCTGGGAAATGTGTAGAGGCACCTTCCAAGCACCCTGGCTGAAGTAACCATTGAGTTATAACATACAAGGAGGCATCACTGGCAAATACATCATTACATATTAAGCAGTCACGAACATTTAGAAAGGATCCCTGTCCTCTTGTCATATGTTAAATCTGTTCAGAGCACATGTAGCTGATCTGGCCCCTTAGGCTGCACATAAACATATTTTTGAAACATGCTAAATTGAACGCTTGGGCCATCATATCAATGCCTGTTTGGCATGTACTGTCTCCCATGCATAGCTCTTGCCAGGTCTGCCCTGTGGAGAAATTAGACTGTGTGGTGTGTACACACCACAGGCTTACTCTGATAAGAAGATACGGTACTGCCAGGACATTCCCATGATCTGGGAAGCGTTTATAGAGTACTGCCATACAAGGAAGTTGTGCAAACCTACAGTCTTAGATTATGTTCCCTTCATTTTGTGAGTCCCACCAGAGTAATCAAGGGCATCTTTGGGTATCCACAGAAGTGGAATTACTGGCACCTCAGGAACTTCCAAGCACAACAGATCAGATCCTAAATAAATAGTTAGGTAGCTGCTGAGTAGGTTTCTTAGTTAATCTAAATCCCAGTTTTGCAGTTAGGCCCCTAAAGTTTGCCCAAGCCTTTGAAGGAGAAAATGCATTTAATAGTATAAATCTGCAGTAGCATTTCGATTGCTAATGGACCTAGGCATTGGTGCCAGGGGAACTAGTGTCAGTTCATGAGGTAACCATGAGGGCTATGGTGTTCAGCAACAGAATCAGAAATATATTGTGGTGGCAGGAGAGTTTTGCAAGAACACAGAGGAATGACTCCAGGGGACCACTAATATACAGAGGTCTCCTGAACTCTTTGTTGACAGTGTCAACAAGGCGTTCGTTGACAGTTTTCAAAGTAGAGCTACTGTAAAGCAATAATTAAACAGGTGGTTCTAACACTGACTGTTTTACATGAAGTCAATGTGTCACTGTAGCCCATGGCACTAATAATACCTTAAACATGAGAAGTGGCCTGTGGCCATTGAAGGAACAGATTTCTGTACTTTGCTAGATCACACTGGGAAAAATAGAAATGACTGATTTAAGCCTCCAGCACAAACATGCACTTGCCAGCTCTCCAGTTGGAGATTTCCACTCTTGGAATAGGCATTGCCTTGCCTAGATGAAATCTTTGGAGTCTGCTGCCAGGTCTTTTGCCAGAAGCATTAAAATGGTTGAAAGAACAGCACTGTCATTTGTCTTCTGTTTGATAGCTGGTGGGCATAAGTCCAGAGCAGCATGAACACAAGATCAGGACTTTTCTCTCCATTTGAAAAAAAAATTTAACTGTTTTTCTTGAGTTTCAATAGCACGTGTACCAGGCCCAGAGCTTTATACTTTCTAATGCTCTTTAATGCCCTCAGTCAAGAGTAAGAGAGAAAGCTTGCATAGCACAGAGGCTGCTAATTAGGCAGTTCTTACCTGTCACTGAAGGTTACTGCTGGTAATGCATCATACAGCAATAGAGTACAACAACAAAGCACTGGAGCTTCTATTCCCTTTTCCAAGAACAGCTGTTACGTGTTTTACAAGGGAAAGGAGCTGAGGAATATGATTTACTATTACCAAGCACTGCAGTTACCCACATGTTTATTTTTTCCAGACAATACTTAACAGTTGACTTACAGGAACATCCTGACAATACTGACTGGATGCTGGGTGCGTTGATGTGCTGCAGGACTCGATGTAGTGGTGTGAATATCAGCAGGTTGCTGATATGAGAAGGCAGCTTGATGTCATCTGGCCTCCTGAACAGCTTCAGTCAGGCAACCTCCTCCAAGCACCTCTGTGTGAACCCTCTGGCCCATCTGCAGTAGAAGGCACCCCATCCTACCCTACTAGTCAAAGTAGAGGATCCACCAATGCCATTAGCAATTTGTACAAGCAATGATTCATTGTTTGCTTTTGAACTGTGCCTTATGTCTATTTTAACTTGTCTGGATTTAGCTTGCAGCTATTTGTCTTTTGCCAGTGATTTAAAGCACTCGGTAAGTCCCTCTAGTAAAATACAGTAAGATGACTTGGGCTTTTCGCTAAGCCAAACAGACGAGCCTTTTAAGTCTCTCACCATCAGACATTTCTGTCAGCCCTCAAATTGTTTTCTGTGGTTGTTTTCTGTTCTGTCTCCATTTTTCCAGTGTCTGCAGTTGGCCAAATACAGAGTAAAAATCAGATCCTAGCAACACTGAAGAAGTAGCACAGAACTGGACCAGACCCAGCACGCCATGATCGGGTGCCCGGCTTCCCCTCTTCCCACAGCTGCAGCCCTGCCACCTCTCCCAGGAGGTGCCTACGCTTTCTGTAATTTACGAGTGACTGTTTTGCATGCCCAGAGATGAAACAGCCTCAATTATTTTTAGCAATTTGACTTCTCACTCATTGTTGAGTTTCATGATGGTCCAAAGAGTAGGTGCCCCTGCTCAGAGGTCTCCAGAAGGCCCAGCTCAGCAGGAGACCCTGAAAGCCTCTGGTCCGGGGGCTGACACAGGCACGGTGGCACCTAGCAGTGCTAGTAAGCAACCTCACAAAGGTTCCCTTTCTGCAGTGCCTGGGATATTTGCGAGCTCAGCCTGGATTTGAGAGAGGGGTCACTCATTCAGTGACTGTTTAAGGTGCAGTAAGCAAATACGGTCTGGGAGGGGTGCCTGGATGTGGGAAGACTCTGCCTGGATCAGT